GTGGGGTGTGTGTGTGTATAGGCGGGTGTGAGTGCATATAGGTGGTGCGTGTGTATATAGGCGGGTGTGCATGTGGTTTGTAAGCCGCCACTCTGTAGCCTTTTGTTACAGCAGCAAATGGACTACACACTCTGGCTGCTTCAGTGACCATGGCCTTATGGGCGGGGCTATGTGCTGACCTGTCCCCAGACTGGAGCCGGGACAGTACCCTCAGCTCTGGTGCCCAGCAGGTCCCAACTGGGGCCTGGAGTGATCTGCTCCCAGAGAAGGCCTCCTCGCATGGTCTGTGCGGACGCCACTCCACCCGAACCTCTCCCAGCACCACTCTCCGGGGCAGAGCCAGGCTCACGCCGCTCCCCACGCGACAAACCTTGCTTTTCAAACTCCTCGAACAGCGCCAGGCTGGTGATGCTGGGCCCCGTGAAGACGATGTAGTTCTTGCCGGCCGCGTTGCGGCACAGGTTCCGGGCCACCGCGCCGTGCAGCTGCGGCTTGTTCTTCAGTGCGTCCAGCCCGTCGGGGCCCACACCCTCCTTCAGGTGGACGTAGATCTGCCAGGAAACACAGGGCCAGTGAGCCCACAGCGCGGCGGCCAGGCCCACGCTGGGCAGTGCGGCTTCCGTCCCTAATGACTTCATTTTAACCTAATTATCGCCTTTTAAAAAAATCTGTTTATTGATTTTAGAGAGGAAGGGAGACGGAGAGAGAGATGCAAACATCAATGATAAGAGAGAATCATGGCCGAAACCGGTTTGGCTCAGTGGATAGAGTGTCGGCCTGCAGACTGAAAGGTCCCAGGTTCGATTCCGGTCAAGGGCATGTATCTGGGTTGTGGGCACATCCCCAGTAGGAGATGTGCAGGAGGCAGCTGATCGATGTTTCTCTCTCATTGATGTTTCTAACTCTCTATCTCTCTCCCTTCCTCTCTGTAAAAAATCAATAAAATATATTAAAAAAAAAGAGAGAGAGAGAATCATGGATCGGCCTGCATTCCCCTTACTGGGGATGGAGCCCACAATCTAGGCATGTGCCGTGACCTCCTGGTTCATAGGTTGGTGCTCAACCACTGAGCCACGTCGGCTGGGTGGGGCCTGAGTCATGATCAGTTTAACCAGAGGGGCTGATTGGGTGGGGTGGGAGGAACATGCCGGGGACAGTGCCGGCCACCCCAGTGCTCAGCGTGGAGGGCAGCACCGGCCCCGGCCCAGGCGGGAACGTCTGCATGACGCACAGTGAGAAGGCAGAGGGTTCATCGGTTACCACGCGAGCCGTGGCCCAGCCTCTCCCTCGGCCCCCGGCCCCGCCCAGGGCTCACCTGGATGATGAAGCCGGTGGACGAGCACTGCCTGACCCACAGGCTGAACTTCCGCTTTTTCCTCTTGCGCAGCTCCCGCTCCGTGCACGTGGCGATGAACACGGGGTCCTCGTCAATCAGGGGTTCGTGTAGCACCTGCCGGAGAGGACAAGCGGAGATGCTCATGGGCGGCAGCGTGGGCTCGGGGCCTCGTCAGGTCTGGGCTCAAGTCTCGATCTGCCCCTGACCAGCTGTGGGCCGTGGCTAAGGCCCTCGACCTCTCTGGTCCCGGGACGCGCGTCTGTGGAAGGGGAACAGCAGGATCCGCACCGGTGTTTTGGGGGGACTAAGTGAGAAACGGGGTGCGGAGCTCGCAGCACAGGCCCTGACACAGAGCAGGAATTTAGAAAATCGGCGGCAGGTCCCCAGTCCAAATCCTCACTTGGTAGCGGGCTCTCCAGCCGGGGCCTGACCTCTCGTGGGGCGCGCCGGGTGGGGGCACCCACTTCTTTCCATGGGCGACCTTTCCACTCGCGGATGAGGGCTTCCCCTGCTCGGCTGTCCTTCCCCTCACTGGCTCCAAATGGACTTACATTGAACTTAAACCTTTTTTTTAATCCTCACCCGAGAATATTTTTCCATTGGTTTTTAGAGAGAGTGGAAGAGAGAGGGAAGGACAGAGAGAAACATTGATGTGAGAGAGACACATCGATTGGTTGCCTCCTGCACGAGCCCGGACCAGGACCCGGGTAAGTGGCTTTGACCAGAATCGAACCCAGGACCCTTCAGTCCACTGGCTGACACCCTATCCACTGAGCCACACCAGGTAGGGCTGAACTGAAATGTCAGGATCTGACCTCTGCCCTGGGGGAAACCAAGAAAAACACACGAATTGTTTAGGCATCAGGACGGGTCTCGGGCTGGGCTACGCCCGCTCTTTCCCGGCTCCTGAAGTGACCAGTTCCCTTCTGACCCAGCGCCGGGCTCTCCGCCCTCCCTCAAGGCGCCCAGTGCTTTCTGACATGGGGTCCCGAGGCGACTTTAAATATCACGTCACCTGTTTTAGCTGCTTGGTAACATGGTGGTAGGACATTTTCAGTGACAAGACAATAGAATAAAAAGAAATGGAATTATAAAAACAGGCTCCGAGGGGTGGTCAAAGTTTTGCTTCTTTGAGTCAAAGCTTTTTGGGGAGACTTTGGGGTAACCCTAGCACTCTGCCACCCTTCCCTCCTCAGTCCTGATTCAGGCTGAATTCTGAACTGTCTCAACGAAATGAAGTGTGGGAACAGCATCCCAGGAACTCCACAAGGTGCCCTGGATCAGGGGCCAGATTGCATCTGGCCCCCTCCCTGCCTGTTGTAAATAAAGTTTTATTGGAACCTGCCTCGCTTGCTCACTCACTCACTCACTCACACATTGTTGATGGCGGCCTTCGGGCCACAATGGCAGAACTGATGCCTCTGGCCACTGACAGGGAGAGTGTACTGACCGACCCTTGCTCTCTGTCGGTGCCTTTCAAGCTTAAACGGATAAACTGGTCCCGGGGGGTGGGGGTAGGGGGGTGAAGGGACTTCCTAACGTGCAGGTCTGATTCAGCAAGTTTGGGGCAGGGTCCGAGTTTTGCCTCCCCAACAGGCTCCGGGTGGAGTCAGGATGCACTGGGCCAAGGGCAGAGCGGAGGAGAATACTCACCATATCCTCCCTCTCTCCTTAATGCTGCCTGGATGCCATTAAAAACCACAGGGCCTGTCAGTTCTGCGCCCTCGGCTTTTCTGTGGTTAGAGGCGGGGACAAGCCTGGCGAGCTGCCTGGAGGAGGTGCCTCCCACCTGCTTCCTGAACTTGCCAGCTCTGTGCAGCTCATCAAACATTCGAGCCCCATTTGGAACCACTCTAGCAAAACTGTGAGTGCCTGCCTCGGAGGGGAATGGAGCAGAGGGGGGAGGGACGCCGCAGAGGGGTGAGGGACGCACAGAGACCGCTTCTGCTGCCCTCTCCACTCCTCCTCCCAGAGCCAACGCCTCCATCCACCTGCATTACCGTGTCATCAGCGCAAACCACACACCTCACCAGCGCGGAGGGGCCAGCGAGAACTTCTGTCCTCACTGTTTTTCCCTCTTTTCTGTCTGCATTAAAATGAATTCCACCCGGCCGGCCGGCGTGGCTCAGTGGTTGAGCGTCGACCTGTGAACCAGGAGGTCATGGTTGGGTTCCCGGTCGCGAGCGTCGACCTGTGAACCAGGAGGTCACGGTTGGGTTCCCGGTCGGGGCACTTGCCCAGGTTGTGGGCTCGATCCCCAGTGGGGGGCGTGCAGGAGGCAGCCGATCCATGATTCTCTCTCATCATCAATGTTTCTCTCTCTCTCTCCCTCTCCCTTCCTCTCTGACATCAATAAAAACATATTTTTGAAAAATAAAATAAAGGAGAGGGAGGATGGGGAGAAAAGAGGAAAAGTGCATCTCAGAGCAAAACCCCGAGTTCTGATCGTCTGTGGTCGGGAGCTGCTGATCTGCACGTCCCCTGGGTCTTACGTGGATGACCTTGAAGTGACCTCAGAGTCGGGGCAGGAAGGGAGGAGGCCCCAGGTCAGCTCGGCCTCCAGCTTCCGCGGACCCCGGGGACGATTCCACAGGACAGCTGCTGAATGGTGGGGGCCCGCATCTCCCGGCCCAGGGCCGAGGGCCGGCAGAGCCCGCCTCACCTGGGTCTGGGAGGGCCTGAAGGCCGTGTCGAAGCTGCTCTGCAGGGCGTCGAGGAAGGGCTGGACCTTGTAGAGGCCATGCGCCGCCTGGCTGGAGCGGAAGGCCACCACGTGGAAGTACTTGAGGATCTTCTCGAAGCGGGCCTGGCTCATGACGCCCGCCAGGCCCCGGTTGCTATAGAAACCGCCGCTCCAGATGCTGAGGACCGACTCGCAGTGGGAGATGCTGGTGGAGACCATGTAGCCCAGGAAGGCCTTCATCTCGGCCAGCGTCACGTCCGCCCAGGCGCCGTCGCTGCCGAAGCGCTCCTGGAACTTTCTGGCGTACAGGTTCGTCTGCACCACCATGTTCTTGAGCATGTTGTCGGGGACGAAGAGCTGGAAGAAGTCCATGGCACTGGCGCTGGGGGGCATCTTCCGGGTGGGACCTGAAACAGGCAGGCCAGGCACTTACTACCGCAGCCGGCACGCCCCGGCCAGGATGGGGCGCACTCCCTTCGCTGCCCCTCTGCCCACGCGACACCCTTCGCGGGGACCGGGGCTCACGCACCAGCCCCCCATCCCCCCTCGACTCACACACCACCAGGGGCCCCTCTTCACTCTGCACAACCCTTCTTACAATGTGGCCAATTCAGAAACACGGATCCAGAGAGTAAGGGAGCCCGGTCAGAGTGGTTCAGTGGTTGAGTGTCGACCTAGGAACCAGGAGGCCGCGGTTCAATTCCTGGTCAGGGCACATGCCTGGGCTGTGGGCTCCATCCCCAGTGTGGGGCGTGCAGGAGGCAGCCGATCCATGATTCTTTCTCATCACTAATGTTTCTACATCTCTCTCTCCCTTCCTCTCGGAAATCAATAAAAAATGTATTTTAAAAACAAAGAGTGAGGGACAGTGAGGGTTGGGAGGAGGGGCAGAGCCTAAGGAATTCTTATCACAGGAGCCTGGCCACAGCCCTGGTGTTTGCTTTCCTGTAAGTCCAGGTACCTCTGTAAATGAGAACGCTTTCGCCGCGTGGGGTCTGGGAAATTCCGTCCAGGTGAGAAAGCAATTTTTACAAGGTATTCTGTACATGGTAACTGAATTTATCAGTGAAGAAGGCTGGAAGGATAATTATCGTTTAGATAACCTCATCAATGCAATAAAAGCCTCACAACAGCTCGGCCGGTATGGCTCAGTGGTTGAGCATTGACCCAGGAACTAAGAGGTCACTGGTTCAATTCCCAGTCAGGGCACATGCCCGGGGTTGCTGGTTCAATCCCGACTGGGGGGCGTGCAGGAGGCTGTGTTGACTCCATTGTATGCTCTTGCTTCCTTTGTCAAATGTTAATTGAGCGTAATGGCTTGGGTCGATTTCTGGGGTCTCTGTTCTGTTCCACTGATCTATATGCCTATTCTCGTGCCAATACCAGGCTGTCTTGATTACAGTGGCTTTGTAGCGTAACTTGAGATCTGGTATTGTGATTCCTCCAACTTTGTTCTTTCTTAGATTTCTGCAGCTATTCAGGATCTTTTTTTGGTTCCACATAAGTTTTTGGAGTGTTTGTTCTAGAATCGTGAAATATGCTGTTGGTATTTTAATAGGGGTTACATTGAATCTGTAGATTGCCTTGAGTAGTATGGACATTTTCATGCTGTTGATTCTACCAATCCATGAACATGGTATGTTTTTCCACTTGTTTATATCTCCTTCTATCTCGTTTTCCAAGGTCCTATAGTTTTCTGAGTACAGGTCTTTTACCTCCTTAGTTAACTTTATTCCTAAGTATCTTAATTTTTTTGTTGCGATGGTAAATGGGTTTTAGTTTCTCTTTTTGAGAGTTCATTACTGGTGTACAAAAAAGCCATCGATTTTGGGTATTGATTTTGTATCCTACTACATTGCCAAATTCATTTATTAAATCTAGTCGTTTTTGGTGGTCTTTAGAGGTTTTCTATGTACAATATCAAATCATCTGCGAATAATGAGAGTTTTACTTTCTCCTTCCCAATATGGATGCCTTTTATTTCTTCTTGTCTGATTGCTGTGGCTAGGACTTCCAGTGCTATCCTATATAATAAAAGCCTAATATGCAAATCAACCAAACAACGGAACAACCAGTCGCTATGACGGGCACTGACCACCAGGGGGCAGATGCTCAATGCAGAAGCTGCCCCCTGGTGGTCAGTGCACTCCCTCAGAGGGCGGGTCCACAGCAGCTCAGCGGCGCTCCCACAGTGGACAGATCCCTGCAGGCCATGCCACCCCGACCAGTGCACGAATCCCATGCACCAGGCCTCTAGTGTTGAATAAGAGTGGTGAAAGCAGACATTCCTGTCTTGTTCCTGTTCTTACGGGAAATGGTTTTAGTTTTTGCCCACTGAGTATGATGTTTGCTGTAGATTTGTCATACGTGGCCTTCATCATGTTGAGATATACTCCCTCTATTCCCACTTTGCTGAGAGTTATCAAAAATGGGTGTTGGATTTTGTCGAATGCTTTTTCTGTCTATTGATACAATCATGTGATTTTTATCTTTCAATCTGTTTATATCATGTATCACGTTTATTGAGTTGCAAATATTGTACCAGCCTTGCATCCCTGGAACAAATCCCACTTGGTCATGATGTATGATTTTTTAAATATATTGCTGGATCCGATTTGCTAATATTTTGTTGAGGATTTTAGCGTCTATGTTCAGGGATATTGGCCTGTAATTCTCTTCTCTGTTTAGTCTTTATCTGGTTTGGGATTAGGGTGATGCTGGCCTTAAAGAAAGAGCTGGGAAGTGTTCCTTCCTCTTGGATGTTCTGGAATAGTCAGGAGGAGAGGTGCTAGTTCTTCTTTGAATGTTTGGGAAAACTCCCTTGAAGCCGTCGGGACCCGGGCTTTTGTTTGCTGGGAGCTTTTTGATGAGGGTCTTCTCACCCTCCTTTAAGGGAAAGGGCCACTTTCCTACAATACAGAGTGGATTGGCGACCGTCTAGTCGTCTAGTCGTCTAGTCGAGAGAAGAGATTGCCCAAGGCTGCAAGCCGTCCTGTCTTCTTTGGGACTCTCCCCGCTCCCACCCGACCTAAGCATCTAAGAAGGAAGAGCAGACGAGCCCAGACACCCAAACTTAGGAGACGAGAGCAGCCCAGGCCTCAGGGGATGAATTTTTCATGAGACTGAAAAAAATAAAAGAATCCCATAAATGCTCATGTGGGAATCAAATATTTCTGTGCTGTCCCGAGTTATAAATATCCCTCTTGAAACCAGGCTATTGTTTGTCAGGACTCGGGGAAGGAAAGCAGCCCTGAGCAGATGCTGCTAACATGCAAGGAAGAGCCCAACTGGGGGCGAGCTCAATGTCAAAGATGGGGGAACCTCCCCACTTCTGATTGGCTGGGAGTCGGCCCCAAACCCAGGAAGCAGGTTGGCAGCTTAAAACTGCCACCCTGGATGCCTCAGACGCACCAGGAAAAGAACCCTCCAGACCCTTCCATGCAAGAAAGGAGGCTGCTCGGGCCACACTGGGAGCTTGCCCTTCTGTCTGTCTGTCTGTCTCTCTCTCTCTCTCTCTTTTAAAAGATGGAAGCAGCTCACGATGAAACAGCAGAATATCCAGGAGGACGTGGGCAGACAGCTCCTCTCTTCCCTCCCCCAGGCACTGACACGAATGCATGAGATTTTAAAAACCCTCCCCCAGCTCGTGGGTGAGCTGCTGGTTCTGGCACCACCAGCCTGGCCGCTCGGGAGCTGCGTGACCTGGAGCCAGGAGCGTCCTCCGGGGCCCCGGGCCTCCCGCTCTCGGGGCTGCTGTGACGATCATGTGAGTCGGGGAGCATCGGGCAGCAACCAGGAACCGTGGTTTTCCGACTGTGGTGGCTGCTACCATCACCCTCATTCCCGTCCCGCAGCCTCTGGTGGGACACGGAATCCACACAGCAGAGCGTGGGCAGGCGCCACGGATGGCCACGCGGGGTGCGCAGATTCCTCCCTCCTTCCTCTGTGGGCACAGGGCCCAGGGGCACTCTGAGAGGCTCTGGGTCCCCGGAGGAGAGGACTGCCGGCCCCGAGGCTGCCCCCCACCTCCCTCCAAGCCTGGAGCTCGAGGCCACTCCAGGAGGCTCAGGCTCTGAGGCCCAGGATGAGCACAGAAAAGGCAACGAGCACCCGACCTGCAGCCCCGCTCAGGCTAACGAGGCAGTTGCCTAGCGTGTCTAAGCTCAGTCCCTCTCCACCCCACCCTGGGAGATGGCATTGTTGTCCCCATTGTATCCATGAAAGAAACAGAAGCCAGGGACTAAGTGACCGGCCCACGTGGCTGGATCTGAACCCCAGAAGCCTGGCACCCACACCTCAGTTCTCAATTACTGCCCATCACACCGGATGGTAATGACTGATTTCCGGTTCATCGGCTGCGCGGGCTGGGCCGCACTGGGCCCGGACGCAGGGCGGGCCACACATATGGATGCTGCAGCCCCAGGGCCCAGCTAGTGCTGCTCTAGGAGCATCCATCCTGGGGCGGACAGGCGGCCAGCACTCGCCACCTCTTGTCAATGAAACCACCGGCCCTCCCTGTAATCTCGAGGGAAGACAGCCCGATGGGACCGTGCCGTGTGGAGCAGACACGCGGTACCGTCATGCCAGTCTCCTTCACTTAATCACAGGCAGACACGAACGCGCTGCCAGTTCCGAATTCAGATGCCAAATCCAGGGCGCTGGAGGCCAGGAGCTCGCCTCCCGGTGCTGGGCCCTCGGCCCGAGGAGGAGCACGCCTGGGCCAGGACTGTACCTGGCAGGAGCCCACCCTGAAGGCTGGTCATTCATGGGGGACACGCACCCCCGCCCTGTTGGTGATGGACAGATTTCCACTCAGCTCCCCTCCTGTCCCTCCCCCCACATCTGCCTCCCACTCCCCACCCCCGGCGGCCCATGAGGAGCCACCCACTCTCCCTGCCCAGAATCCGCGCATCGGCAAGGGGAGGAAGGAGAGGCGGTGTGTGGTCCACGCCGATGGGGCTAAAGACAATTCCGTGAGCATGCAGCTCAGGCCGGGCAGCTGGCTCAGCGGGTGAGCGTCGACCTGCAAACCAGGAGGTCAGGGTTCGATTCCCGGTCAGGGCACATGCGGGGGTTGCGGGCTCCATCCCAGTGAGGGCGTGCAGGAGGCAGCCGATCCATGATTCTCTCTCATCACTGATGTTACTACCTCTCGCTCCCTCTCCCTCTGAAATCAATAAAAAGATATTTAAAAAATAAAAATAAATAAATAAAGGGGAGGAGGCAACCAGCTCTGCTGAGGGGCACAACTGCGACCCGTGGTGCCCATCAAGGCGCCCGGACACCGCTCAGGCCTCTGGCACCTGCCACGCTCCGTGGGGTCCGGGTCCAGCTTCCCTTCCCAACGCCTTTTGCACAGGAAGGGAGTGTCTTAAGGATTCATCTCCGGTCTCCTGCATTTAGAAGC